AGTTATTCACAAAAGCTGGTTATTCATTTGTGGGTGCATTATGTACATGATGGGACGGTGTGCAGAATGCTTCCATGTTGTCATATTGCAATGAATTACAGCAACTGTAGGGTGAAATGGAAAGATAATTTTCAAGAATATTAAATTACAGAATGATGTAATTTTATCTGCTGTATGATTATTTTATTTTTGTTTTTCAAAAGTAAAGTTTACCTTTATGGCTCCAAGAGATCTGAACTGCTGCTGCTGGTGGTGGTGGTGGGGGGGTGTATTCAGCTCATTTAGTGTCCTCCAAACAACAAAGCTAACAGTTTTGGTGGTATTGGCTTGTGAATTCAAAAGCATGGCCTGACATTACAAAGTTTATTACATATCGAAATTTTATTGTATATGGCCAGTTTAGCCCTCACCTTCAAGTAAACATACGCGTTACCTATGCAGTGCAGCAGGCTGTAGCCCAAAAGCATATACTTAAAGGGTAGCTCCACATTCATGGAGAAAAAAATAGCAGTTAAAAAAAAAATGGCATACAGTTGCGATGTTATTAAAAATTACCTTTCATTTCCAATCTGCAGCACTCTAATTTTCTGTAAAATGCAACATGGCAACCTGGAGACGTTCTGTACACTGATGTACGGAATACCCCCCAGAAATGTCATTTCCTGCTCTGTGATTGGTTTACTGATTTTCCCAGAAGTCTGCACCAAGATACAAGTAAGATTTTGGGCATCCCGTGGCCTCTCACCATTTTTGGTGAGATACTCCCAAAGAGAAATCATGTCTAAAGGGATGCAGATTCCGCCAATTTCCTCAATAAACATTTTTAATTTTATATTTCTCAGTTGATTCCTGGCGTCGGTCAAAATTATGCTGTACATCCTAGCAGTCTTATTGTACGTTTTTTGTTTTCATCTGTAGGAGGGGAAGAGGGGCTTTCACAGCTAAGCACACCCTCCTGCCTACATGCCTGAGCTGATGGCATATGAATTCCAGGAAATAAATGCTACGTGAATCATTTGCTCTTACTTCAGATGGCCATGGCTAGAAATGAGTGCTTTCCAAAGTGATTTCTCAACAAAATAAAGCATGGAGACATGGATGGATGGATGAGTTTTCTTTGAATATTAAAAATGAATTAAATATTGCAGTTTGTGGTGCTCAGATACAGTTTTGTTCCACTTTAAAGTGAGCCTGTTGGCTTTCCCGACATGGTCAAAATACTGGTTTGGTTTACGTTGTGGAAATACATATTCCTCCCCGCTTTTAATTTTCATTGCAAAATGTACTCCACATTCGCACATTACTGATGATTCATCACCACAAGTACCCCGGAGTTATGCAAGCAGTTTACTTCTACGTTATTCATTGTAAACTCTGAAATCGCTGGCAGACCTGCTTGAAATTTGCCATTCTATCAGTAAACTCTCCACTGAGCAATTTTATTCTCAAACGGCAATATCATGTCAAGAAAATTTTTGTGGATTTTGACCTGGAGCAGTTTACAGACTATCTATATTGCAAATGCAGGAACAATGCATGCAGTTGTGTTGAACAGGTATTAAATGTAACAACATAGAATGAGCAGCATGCGAGTGTGTTTATCACTAGGGATGAGCAAAACTGCCTGTGTCCAATTTGCAGAGAGTTTGGTAAATCCTGTTTGAAATTCAGCAGACCCAAGTCCTCCTGAAGTCCCTAGAGGGACTTCATTTAAACTCTGGCTCTTTTTAGGGATAATAGGCAAACTTGTGTCCCCAAAAAATACTGTGCAATGGAGAGGGGGTCTTTCTAGTTGGCTTCCAAGGAAAAATTGATAAAAGCACAAAACCCTGACTCTTCCAACCAAGGATTGGAACTAAATTTGTGTGTCTCTTTAAGACATCACATAATATCCCTGCCCTGGAGAACTCTGTTAAAGCAGAACTGCACTACATCCGAGCACCACAAACGGAAAACACTATGTAATTCATTATAACATTCAAAGCAAATTTACCAATCCATCCATGTCACCATGCTTTATTTTGCTGAGAAATCAATTTGAAAAACACCCCCACTAGCATTTTTGGACATGGCCATCCTGAGTAAGGGCAGATGATTGATGTAACATTTATGTTGTGGAGTCCATCTGTCCTTAGCTCAGGCATGCAAAGAGAAACGCCCTCCTGCCCTCCTATCCTCCTGAAGACTCCAGGGATGTATGACATAATTTGCCTAGGCCTGGGAAACCGAAAGTAACTGAAAAAGTAAGTGTAAAGGAAACGTTTTTAAAACAAGTAAATATAATATCCTTTCCTATTCATTTACTAATGCTAGTTGCATAAGGATTAAAAATAGTCAATGTTGATTGAGAGAGTAAAGTTCCACTTTAAGGTCCTGTCTCAGTTGTATTACACTCCCGCCAGAGTCACAAAATGCCTCCCATCCTTTCCTTCTCTTGTTTTTGGGATGCTTGGACCTGGAGGACATGAAACATCTAGGGTGGCTGTGCCCTAAAGTTAAATGCATGTGGAGACTAGTATACAGTATGGTCGATTATGGTACTGCAAATCAACTTGCACAAACACCCCTGGAAAGCAATCTTTCACAAACCTATCGATCACATTCTTTGTCGGTAACTAGTATTATTCACTCATATCTTTATGGCTACAAAACAGACAATTGCTCGGGGGTGAAAAATACCAACACTCTATTTCAAAGAGGTAAAGAGTCATATGTACTCTTAAGCAAAAAGCTAACTGCTATCCTTGACAACAAACATGATCAATTCCTGAATATCTGGCAGCCCTTGCAACTGACAGCACATCTTTTGGACGTGTAACTTCGCAAGATGTATGTGCATCTTCTGGGGTGCCTTTAGCCATCTTTCTCCCCATTCCTTCTTCCTTCTTTTCCCCACCATCAGCTTCCCTCCTAGACTTCTTTGTTGGTCTCTTCCTCTCTCCAAAGGAAATCAATAAAATTAAAGTGAAAGAAAAGATGCAAATCCTTTAGGTATCATGCTTGGGGATTGCTTTAACCCTTTCGCTGCCAGATCTGTTTTTCGGGTTTTGCACACGTTTCAAAACAATCATTTTAGGCCTGAAGATTACATAAACCCCCAAAACATACATTTTCAGAAAGCCTACATCCTTGAGAATAAAATGGTGGTAGTTCCAAATTTTTTTGTCACATGAATGCACAGGTCTAGGAAATGCAAAATTGCAACAAATTAATACACTAAACAAAAATGCAATAAATTACCCAATTTATTTTGGTAAAAGGTAAGGTTGCAACGAGTAAATAGATACCTAAACCCTAAATTTGAGTGGGCCCATGAAATGGCGACAAACTTCAGCACTCTATATTTTCTAAAGGGAACATTTTAAAACGTCATCAGTTTAGCATTACGGAGGAGGTCTGGTGCTAGAATTATTGCTCTCACTCCGTGCACGGCAATATGTACAATGCGTACTGCAATCAAAGTATTCATGTGTAGGCGCCCCCCGGCCCATCCGTTTTACGTTTGTGGGGGCCTCTGAAAATTATTGAGGGGATTTTATATGCTTGGGCATAACTTTAATTTTGAGAACAAACGGCACAGCGCTGCAGATACTGTGACAGCTGTAGTTGTCAAGCCATGGCTCAGCGGGGATGAGCGATCCCCACTGGCTGTTTCACACTGTGAATACTGTAAAGCTGCAATCCAGTAGGAGGATAGCTTCTGGCCTGTTACAGGACCATGGCCTGGCAGTTTAGAAATCCTATACTAGAGAATGGGGGAAGCCTTTTTGCAATGGTCACATGTCTTGCTCTTACACATGTTTTTTTATTTTCTATATTCATTGCTTTGCCTAAGAGACCTTACAGTGCCATATTTATTATATCATAGACTGATTTGTTTCTCCTTATGATTTGAAAAGCAATACATCCCCTCATTGATAACTGCATTTTTTCTATCTGAATGTCTCTTAACCTAAGTTTGGTTCCTTCTGTTTTCTAGATCCTGTTTAAGGACCTGTTCAGGTTCCTTTTGGTGTACCTGCTCTTCATGATTGGATATGCTTCAGGTAACACAAAGAATATTCACTAGAATCATTTTCAGTAGCCCTTTGCATACACACACAAGCTCCTGCAGCATGGATGGCTAGAGGTGTTCAACCTATCTCTTCTTTATATTTCAAATAAATGACTTTGACAATACAATCAAAATGTAATGGACTATATGCATTATGACAAAATGCTACAAGAGTGTTTGTAAGGAATCCACTTCCATGGTTTTCACCACAATGTATTGCTGTAATCTGAATGGTGTGGGTTACACCATAGCTCATTGCACAATATATTTCCGAAAATATGTCTGAACTACATATTGTGGTTTAGAATGGAAAGGTGACCAATTTGCCACTTAATTAGTACCTGCCATGGAGCATGTGCAGTATGTGTATGCATAGTTCAGTTGGTCCTGTATCTGTGTTGTGACACAAGGTGGCAGACTGCCTGGATTGGTCCACAAAGAGCCACTCTGTTGTCAAGGATGGCTGATTTGTATGTAAGCTGTGGATACCATTTTGCAGATGTTGACTGTGCAAGTAACTCTAGGCAAAGCTTCCTCTGATTGCCTTTTTGTAACGCTGATTTTTGATTTATAATATTACTGTTGACATCCCATATTCCTTTGTGCCTTGGTTTAAAGAAAGCCACAGTATTTCTGGTTACATATAAGCTAAACATAGGCAATGTAGGTTTGTAAATTATGAGATAGTTTTGTTTTCTAATGACACAGCAGGGGTATTTTTATTTTCATTTGTGGCTATTTTGATGTTTGAGATCAAAAAGTAATTGTGCTTTTTGGCAGAACAAATAGTAGGTTTGGAGTTACAAATTAAAAAGTAGATGTATGTAACTGAACATTATACTGTACTGTGCTGAGAGGACACAGCATGCAATGCAAATATTTTTTTGTAACTGTTTTAATTCTTCTTTTCATAGCTCTGGTGTCCTTGCTGAATCCATGTCCTGCTCAGGAGACCTGCACTGACGGAAATTGTACAATACCTGGATATCCGTCGTGCAGAGACAACAGTACATTTAGCAAGTTTCTTCTGGATCTCTTCAAGCTAACCATCGGGATGGGGGATCTAGAAATGATCGAAAGTGCCAAGTACCCAGCTGTCTTCATTATACTCCTGGTGACATACATCATCCTCACTTTTGTACTTCTCCTTAACATGTTAATCGCTTTAATGGGGGAAACAGTTGGCCAGGTGTCAAAGGAAAGCAAACAGATCTGGAAGTTACAGGTAACAATACTTGCCAAACTCAAGCCAAAATGTTTTTTTTTTCCTTTAGTTTTGGATAGCGTAAGGAAGGCTCAATTTCATTTTTTTTTTATTTTTTTGTATCCCATTGGCAAGATTTCCCTTGACTGCCTGTCTTATCGACAAAACAGGAAGTGATAGAAAAGCTGTCCAAAGAGAGGAAAATGTCCTCATTAGACAGTTATCATTAAAACAAGTGTTTCTATTGAAAAATGTTGGATTTTCAGTCCTGGCAACAGTAGTCTCTAGGACAGGGGTAGGCAACCTTAAACATGGGAGAAGTCAAAGATCACCGGCACAGTGTTGGCCAGTGTCACCTCCTCACACCTGCAGTATTACCATGTCACAATCATGTGCTTTGCACGGCAATCATAGGTGTAAATCAGGTGGTGAGGAGGTAACATATCGCCTCCTCACCACCTGTCAAACACATTCTGATCACTTTGCTGAGGAGAAGTAGTGTCTGCTGCATGTGTGAATGACCCCCTAGTTGCATCTGGCAGCAGCACTCTTAGGGCTTGTTCACATGTAGAGTTGGAGGGCGGTAAAACCCTGCACTTGAATCATGGTTAAAGCAGGTGGTGAGAAAGCAACACAACGCTTCCTGTTTAACTCCTTGTTTTGCTGTACTGCACAAGGTTGCAGAGCGGCCTCATTCACTTGAATGGGTCATGCTTGGTAGGTGCTACACCCGCCAACCTTGACAGGGTGTAGGAGCCAGCACTACAGAGGTCACATCAACTTATGCAGCTCTTGCTCCCTACTACAGCTCCAACTTTTAGTCCCTCTGCATTGCACTCTGATGCTCTGGGATGGCGTGCCAGCAAGCCCTGATTGTAATCTAACAGTCACCTGGCCCCGATCTACTGGTTGTTGACCCCGCTCTAGGACAAATGGAAATAATCACCCTAGCTCTGTCACAGATAGCAATAAAAAAAACATGACAGGGGTTGTAACACTATACCACTCTATCCGTAAAAATGACTTTAGACTTTAAAGATCTGAAAAAAGATAAGAAGGTGTTTATTTTTCTCAACAAAATGTGAGAAACAAGACTCTACTAAATGTCTTAATGATCACACGCATCCAAAATGATTTTTTTTTTTTTTACAAATGGATTTTTAGGCGGGTATAGTACAATCTCTATGCAGCAAAATGCAATTTCTGTACCTTACATTTTATGTTTAAGGCAGTATCTTTAAAATTAATTGGACAGTTAAAAAAACCTAAGACTGTAGATTTTTCTTGGGCTGAAATAAACTGTTTCTCACCCATACATCACCTCATTACCCAAGTCTTTATCACGATCTAAAAAATGGCAGCTCTCTTTTAGGATTGGAATTTCTAACAACTGAACATGGATTCGATTGTACATACTTAGGTCAGATGCTCACAAAGTGTGTTGGTTGGTAGGTGGTGGCTTAACAGCCTTTTGCTGCTCCAGGTTTAGATGCATAATTGATAAGCAGATCATTTTCGGAGCATCATTGGCATACTTCATCCTTGCCAGCACTTTGTTGGGGCATTATTTTATCTAGAGTAGGATCCCTTATACATGGGAACTATTGAGTTATATTCAGTGATGGGATGTGCCGTACATACACAGCAGATTGGTTTCAGTCAGTCTGAGCTGACTGAAAAGCATGTACTGAGGCAGAGAAATAAACGTTTTCTGTGGAGCACTAGTATGGAGGAAGAACAGCCTTTATTCTTAAATTGCAAATATGCATGCCATTTATTCATATTATAACAAACAATGCACAAAATAATGTTTTTAATTTTACACATATGAATAAGACATGCTTAAAGTCCAAAGGAAGGAAAAGTGGAGGTGTTGCCTATATTAAAACTGGATTCCAGACACAAACATTTTCACAAACAAATATATCCACTTTGTATGCACCAAATGCCTTTGCAAATCCAGATACTACCTTGTAAAAGTACTGGTGATCTCATTGCTTTAATTAGCTTCTGCAGAAAGCAAAGCTGTGCAATGGGCCCAGTGGGTCCTTACACTGCAAGCTGCCTACACAAAACTAGAAATGGTGGGGGATCACAGCACAGATCTGGAAGAAATACACAAAGTACACCCAGATTGAAGTGAAAATACACATTCCTCTTCTGTTTTAGATAATATTTTCTTATTTCGGAAGTCCGCTTTAGCCAGTCAGAACTATATGGGTATGTTCTTTTCTGCATAGGCTCACTTGCAGCTTATAAATGTGCATATTAATTGCTTCTTTTTAAATAGGAGTACTGCTTATGCTAACGAATCTCTCTTTTATTAGTGGGCCACCACCATCCTGGATATAGAAAGGTCATTCCCTGTAATTGTCCGTAAAGCATTTCGTTCAGGAGAGATGGTAACAGTTGGAAAAAATTCTGATGGCACCCCTGATCGACGTTGGTGTTTTAGGTAAAAATGTTTCTGGTATCTGGATGTACAGGGCAGTTCTGAAGGCTCATAAATGAGAGCTAGTAACACAGAAGAAGCAAAGCAAAATTAAATATACTTTAGTATGTCTGTAATTTGTCTATACATTGTAGGAGATTTCGAAGAAGACAGACCACTGTTTTGGCATATCTTTAGCCATGATATTTAGATTCTCGGGATAGCGAAACGCCACCAGCCAAAAAACATCTAAACAGAAGCGAAGATGGGTCTGCCCTCTGCTGTAAAGGATAGGAAGGCTTAGTTCTACATTAATATTGAGCTTTGACTTCAAATTGCAATAAAGTCAAATTGCAATGTTAAACATTCTTTTTCTTGAACGGTGTATTAAGCAGGCAGTACCACTTAAAACAAAACAACAAAAACTTTCCCCAAGCAAAATATTGCATGTTTTGTATACATGTAACTACTAAACCGTTTTTTTTTTTCATAATTGTCAAATTTGCTTGAGAGAATTCTAAGAAACTGTGATTTGAGGACAGTTCATTTATAGAATAGTTTTGTTGCTGGTAAATTATGCAGCCGTCATTCTACAAGCACAACATTGTCTCTTTGATTATACAGCAATTCCCAAGCAATTTGAACAGAAAAGGCTCTACTGGTAAATAATTTGTTTCTCATTTGAGCTGGCTTTGGCTGTGCGTGACTGAACCTGGTGTGGTGTGTGTAGAATGTATGGTTCTTAATTGTCCAGTTGTACAGAAGTACCGTAATGGAATGAGAGATGCAACTGGATTATTTGTAAAGTCATTTAAATCTATGTCTAGATTGTAGAATTTTTGTTGCTGAAAAACAATCGGTCTTGCATGCATATCCTTCGTATGCTTAAATGTACTTTAAACAATTCTTATTCCTCTGTATCTTGCTAGCCTTTAGCACAGCTCTTGGCATTTGTATTGCTCTGGAACTGGAAGGGTTACTATAGATAGGTTCTAGAAGACAACACACTAGTGTTGATCATTAAAGAGGGGTGCTGTGTTGGTTCCTGCTCTAAAACCACATTTTAATTTGCATATTAATGAAGTCTCCAGCTATACCACAAGGCACAGCATGAATTAACAGATGGTATTTAAATCTTCTAGTAAATATGAGAGACAGGCAGTGACTGGCAATTATGGCAGTATCTAATGGAATATCTGTTATTGATTCATAATTAGACCTCATTAGACCCTTGTCTATCTTTGTGTCATTCTCACTTGCGACGAAAAAGGCTCTCTTGGGTTGGCAGATGGTTAAACTCATTCACTCTGCTAATTGTTAGGCCTGAATAACTATTTGACCTCAAAATTGTCAACATTTAAATTAAGCAGCAAATAAAAGCACATATTACATTTACAGAAAATGTTTTACATAGCAGCACAGCACAAATATAAAGAAAAGGAAATCATATAAGTTTTGCATATAAAATATGACAGTAAAATAGAAGAAAGACTAAGATTTGATTAGGGCAGTAGGTTTCCTGGAACAGAAGAAAAGATGCCAGTAACTGTTAAATTCTGATGATCACATATAAAATGGGGTGAAAGAAACTCTTCAATGGATTTTTTTAAAATTGGAGAAAAGCAAGTCAGAGGTTGCTCATAACTTGCTGCCATGTTTTATTTTCCCAGGTTGTGTTAGAGACTTAACCTGGCTGGCAGTTAACCTTTTTCTTGCTCCACTTTTAAAATAATCCTTAATACTAAGCTTGGCCTCTTGGGGTTGGGGTCCTCAATCTACAATTGTATTTTGGATTTTTTTTAAATAGCCCGCAGGTAGTCAAAATTGGTGAGCAATCGTCTTTTTTGTTATGTGAGTACAGGTACTCCACAGGGATATGTGTTACGTCTGCTATTATTCACCTTGTTTACCTCTGATTGTGCTGCTCATTATGAGGGAAATTGTGTCATTAAATTTACAGATGACACTAACGTTTGTAGGCAAGATTAAAAATGCTGAGGATCTAGGCAGAAATGGATCATTTGTGGAGATGGTGCAAGGATAATATCTGCTGTTAAATGTGAGTAAAACTAAGGAGATGAACATAGACTTTAGAAGGAAGAGAGTTGGGGGCATATCTTAGTGGGTATAGATGGAGAGGAGGTCCAGATGGTGAGTAGTTGTAAGTTTTTGGGAAAGAAATACTGCTTTGTTTCTATAGGGGTGCAATAGAGAATATTATGTCTTGTCACCCTGTGTCAAGGCATGTGCACAGCCCAGGTTATTAATGTAGTGCAGAGGGTAATGGACTGCACAAAATAATACAGGTATCAAATTGCCAGGTGTTAATGAGAGCAGAGATGCCTTTTGTAGGGCACACAATATTTTAATGGATATTACCTATCTGAGATTCGAGTATTATGGGATGCTCCAATCAGATAAGTGTTAAAGGAGCATTGGGAGCAGTGGGGCTCATGCAAATAGATTCAAAAATATTTATTTTTTCCTCAGGCATTGCAGCTTTTAAATTCAGTAGGTTAAATAATTAGGATATAGTGATGTTTACAGCCATACCTGAATTTCATTGTATGATCTGTGATTGTGAAATGAAAGTAAATTGTTTAAATAGTTGAATCCTATAAAAAAAAAATGTTATGTAAGTGTTCTGTGATATATGGGAACCTTAACCACGTCATACCTTTAGGACATACCCATACATCCTTGGGTTGAAGTGGTTATGCCAGGAACATGGCTGCAGCCACAGCCATAATCCCAGTATCAAAATTTTCAGCTGGGTATGGGCTCTCCTGTAGACGTGATCTGAGCTGCTATGCAGGTGCCCAGTCACTTCTACATGGAATGTAAGGGGCCCCTCTCCTCCCACCCGCCACTGTTCCCGAGCTCTCCGGTGCTATTGGTTAGCCCAGGATGCTACATTCTGTGCGGCTGGCTAAACACAGAGGAAAGAAAGGTACATCCTTACCCTCCCCTGCTCTATGATGAAACCAGAAGTGATGAGGATGTTGTCACTTCTGTTTGTTGTTTACAAGCCATTACTGGTTTGATCCGATCAAACCAATCTAGCTTTGAGAAGATGCATTTGAGGGCAGATGATAGATCTGGGGTGCATTAGACACCAGATCTATCAGTAAAGCACACCTGTCACTGGCCATGCTATCACATGGGGTTTTGTTCATCCTTTGTAATATCAATAATGTTGACCCCCCAAACAAAAAAAAACGACAATGTAAAAAAAGAAAAATGTAAGGGCCCCCATGCTCACTTGCAAATGTGAACACATACATAGATCTTGCATGCATCTCTCCAGGGCCTCTACTTTAAAAAATACATAATGTTTGGGTGTTCGAAGTAATTTTCTAACAAAAAAAAATAGCAGATTTCAACATGAATGTGAGAAATGTCAGAATTGTCAGTTCTCCTACTTTGCAGCGCTTAGTTCTGGATTCAGTTACAAACTTTCACTTCATCCACATGACATTTGTGTAAAAAAAAAATTTCCAGGGATGTAGTTTCCTCAAAGAGCTATGTTAATTATCTTTTTACAGATTTCTTGTATGTGTTTATGATGATAACAGAAACATTAACACCTCATTTACAACAAGAGATGCAGTCAGTTGCATTTTTGAACACCGCAAAAACACAGTACAAATGCATGTGCAAGAAAAAAATGTATTAAATGCATTTGAAGAAAGAACAGCATGCTGCATTTTTCTGCACTGGATTGTATGGAAAAAGCGCATGATTGCATGCGAATGTACCACAAATGTGCATGAGTGCAGGCAAGCGCACTTGAATGTGTGCAAACACATGTAAAAGCAACTTAGTAAAGAAAATGATTTGAAGTAAATAAAAAAATGTTTTTAAAAAATGCACTGAAACACAGTGCACACAAACACACGTAGAAATGCACAGTGAACACAGATATTTGTGGTATAAATGAGCCCTAAAAGGTCTATGTACTGTGTAAAAAAACGTTTAAGCGTTTGTCAGCCTAATTTACATTTAAATTAATAGAATACTTATGTATGTAAACAAAGCTTAGGGTTTAGAACTTTCACTTCATTGACTTCATTCTGTTCGGGACTGGTGAAATATTGCTCAGTAACACTGCTGTTTAGCCTCTAATAGAACAAACTGCTTTGCTAAGGATAAAACTGTATGTTTTGGGTTTTTTTTTTTTAACGTTAGTTTTTCTTATTACAGGGTAGATGAAGTAAACTGGTCCCACTGGAATCAGAATCTTGGCATTATTAATGAGGATCCTGGAAAGTACGATACCTATCAGTATTATGGCTTTTCCCAAACAGTGCGACAGCTGCGAAGAGGTAGGCCTGAGATCAAAAAGACAATCACATATGCATGGATGTATGTGTGTGTGTTTTAATATAAAGTATAATTAAAAAAATAAAATAGATTCTTTTCTATAGGGCTAATGTTTAAAAATGCATACACAAGTTGACCCTTTACATATACCCTTAAAGTGATATTAAAGCTTTGATTTTTTTTAAATTACAATAACAAACATACCTGCTCTGTGCAATGGTTTTTCACAGAGTAGCCCTGATCTTCCTCTTCTTGGGTCCCCTGCTGGAGTTCCTGTCCACCTCTTCAGCGAGTGCCCCCCATAGAAAGTCGCTTTCTATGGGGGCAGTCGTGTGGACTTAATTCTGAGCTGCTCTGTACGCGCCTATTGACACAGACAGGGCAGCTCGGCCCCACCCTCATCACAGAATTTGATAGCAACGGGAGCCAGTGGCTCCCACTGCTATCATTCTGCCCAGTGAGAAGGGAGAGAGCCGCTGTACTCATGCACATGGCTGGATCGAGATCAGGGTCAGGTAAGTACAAGGCAGAGCTGGTGGGACCCTCTGGCACAGAAGGTTTTTTACCTTCATGCATACAATGCATGAAAGCAAAAAAAGTCAGCCTTTACAACTACTTTAAACTACACCCCCCTGATATATGAGCTGAATTGAGGTTTGGGAGGGGGGGTGAGATTGAGGGATATACGTATGTATAGATTTATACGTTTAATAACATCCTTCCTTCCTTAAAGTGCTACTAAAGCTAAAACTTTATTTTACCTAATGCATTCCTTGCATTAAGGTAAGCATTTTCTATTCCTCTGCCCACCCCCCACCCCCCCTACCTTCCCTATGTAGAGCGGAGAATAGATCAGCTGTGTGCAGGGCTGCATCTCTTTTCCCCTCTCTTCCTCTTCACACAACACTCAGTAGCACCAAAAGCCATTGGCTCCTGCTGCTGTCAATCAAATGCAGTGGGGGGGGGGGGCAGGGCTAAGTCCTGCTGTGTGAGTCTATGGAGCACAGCTCCATAGACACACAGCACGGGAGCGAGCACATACTGTGTGCCCCCATAGCAAATGGCTTGCTATGGGGACACAGGAAGAAGAGGAGGAGCCAAGATCGCCGGTGGGGGACCCAAGAAGAGGAGGATCAGGGCTGCTCTGTGCACGGAGCAGGTGAGTAGAACGTGTTTGTTGTTTTAATTTAAAAAGAAAATATATATATACTTTTTAGTAACACTAAGGTACCAAAGGTTTGTTGCCTTTATTCCTCTCCCATCCTGTATACATGTATGTGTATATGTGCGTGTTTATACATTTTTATTTATACACACAAATGACCATCTGAATTCCCTCTCATGAACTCCGCAAGGTCGTTAGTTTATTAGCTTATGCTGGCAGCATACTTGATGGATTAGTTCCATGGCAAATAACATGTTTTTATCACAGGACTAAATGATCCATCAAATATTTGACTGTTAACAGTAAGGTTTGGTGAAAAAAGGGACGGATTATTTTTATATCTGTAGCATGTTTAATAGATGATTCCTTCGAGGCCAAAACAGATTTCACAGCAATAACACATTTTAAGACCATCTTGTGAATGCTGTTCTGCTTAGGGAGAATATACTGTAGTATCTGTGTGTATAAATAGTAAAAAAAAAAAACCATTATTCCTTTTTTTTTTTTTTTTTTTAAATATAACATATAAGCATAGAGGACAGATTCAGAAGATGGTTTATATGTTAAAGCTTATCTGTATCAAAATAATGTAGTTGTTAGTGTTTGCTTTATGCCCATTTTATGTAGCGAAATGGATTTATTATCTGTAAATTCCAAGACGTGGTTTTTGAGAGATCATTTGCAGTTCCCCTATGGGCAACCCACACAGAGCAGAAAGGAAATGTCTGTGTGCAACAGCTCCTGTGAGGTAGAACAATAACAGGATTTTTGTACATATCATAAAATCCTTTCCTTGGAGTTCATTCAGGCACACAAGATCAGTAGAATCAGAAACAGTGAGTTATACTTCTTCCTTTAGGAGGAACTGGACTCTCACAAACCAACAAAGGCTGTTAAACCCACCCACTTTCAAGATGGATGAGACCTGTCTCTTGATGAGAAAATGATTTTATGGTGATTTCAAAAATCCTGTTTTCTTAATCATTCATTAAGGGATATGGGATCTGTAGAATCAGGAGCATCCCAAAGCAGTCCAACTGAGGGAACCTTACGTCCATAGCTTGCATCTGTAATTGCCTGAACATCTACTTGGTAAAACTTAGAGAATGTGTGAATGGAAGGCCAGGTGACAGCCTTGCAAATCTGAGAAACAGAAGCTTGATACTGGAAAGTCTATGATGTGGTCACAGATCTTGTGGAGTGTGCCTTGACAAGGAAAGTTAGAACCTGATCCTTAAGCTGGTAGGTCTGATGTTCCTGAAGGTATGAGCCCCTGAGAAATGGTGGGACATATAGCAAGCTGTCCTTTCTCAAGAATGAGAAAAAAGGTAATCAGTCTGTCTGAAGGAAGATGTAGCTGAGAGGCAGACATATTCAGTTCTAACCACATTCAAGTAATAAAGGGATATCTTCTTAGTATGAATCAGAGCAGGACAGAGAAATGGAAGAACAATGTCCTTGTTAAGGTGGAATGTAGAGACCACCTCTGGGAAGCTCTTATGAAGGATAAGAAAAGGTAATTTGCATACACAGCTGCCATTTGGATACCCACCGATTGGAGGTGAAGGCAATGTGTAAGGCTACCTCAGGAGTTGACTTGTTTCAAAAGGCAGCCTTTAAAGAGCTGAGCAAACCTGGTTGAAATCAGAATAACCGCGGAAGGTGTACAGATGGAACTATGTGAGCAACACCTTGTACAGTAGCCTTCACTAGGGAATTCTGGACTGTCTGACTGACATTGCCCAACAAAGTCTGTGCTGTTATAGGAGTTTGTAGAGATATCCCACTATGGGAATGCCCTGTGAACATTACCAGGCTAGCATTGGAGCCAGGAGCTAGTTCATTGGTGAACACATAATCTGCAGAAGACAGAAGTGCAGCAAACTTGTACTTTGAGATCCACGATGGGATGGGTGCCCCCTTTTGACTTTGGGATCAGTGAACAGGTTTGAGTAAAAACCTTGAAACCCTTCTGCTTAAGGAACAGCAGTGAATCTTTGACATAGGAGGTTTGCCAAGTCAGCATGGGCATCTGGTAATTTTTGTGAAAAGGTAGCCAGATTTGACAGTAGGAAGTGGGAGAAAGGCATAGATTGAAACTCTAGCATGTAGCTACTAGGTACAATATCTTTTACCCATGCATCGTTAAGGCTATTGGTCAAGGTATCCACAAAGACTAACAGACGTCCCCCACTTTGGAAAGTATGAACAACTCCTGCCCACCTACAGCCTCCTGAGACACCTCACATGTCCCAGGAGGTTGCAGGCATGTTTTACAAAGCACTGAGGGTTGCTGATGTGTGCTTCCTCAGTCATATCTTCCGTATCCAGGATGGCGATGCCAGGGATGCACAGTGGTAAGAAGAACCAGCCACAGGAAGACAGCGCTGGACCCCAGACACTAGTAAGTACTTGATCTAATGAACAGTGGGGTCAATTCACTAAAGATTACTGCATATGATAAGATGGTCATGTGACTCATTTGCATAACTTAGCATACTTTAAAAAAATGTCCAATTCACAAAAAAAAAAAAATTATGGTTATGTGGTGTTAAAACGCAGAATGAAAAATGTGCCGGTAAATATCGCAAAAAAGAAAGTGGTAAGCTGTTAAGTCCAATTCACAAATGGAACAGAAAGCAAAAAAAGATCTTTATCACCATGGCTTTGCTGGCGGTATCACTTGCTGTATTTTTTCAGATGCAGCGTGGGGGACCCCCCCTATCCATACCAGGCCCTTTGAGTCTGGTATGAAATTTAAGGGGAACCCCACACCAAAATTTAAAAAATAAATGACGTGGGGCCCCCTCTCAAATCCATACCAGACCCTCAGGTCTGGCATGGATTTTGGGAAGACCCCCCATGCCATTTTTGAAAAAAAAATATTGTCATAGGGTTCCCCCAAAATCTATACTAGTCCTAAGGGCCTTTTTTTTTTTTTTTTTTTTTTTTTTTCATTTTGGTGTGGCGTTTTTCTTAAAATCCATACTAGACCCGAAGGTTCTGTTTATTTCATAATTTTTAATGGCCGACATGTTTTGTTAAAGACAAGGCGGCCAGCCGACATGTTTTGTTAAAGACAAGGCGGCCAGCTTCCTTAACCACTTGCCCTCCTGAGGATTTACCCTCCTTCCTGGCCAGGCCATTTTTTGTGTTTATGGCGCTTCAATAATTTAACTGATTGCGCGGTCACGCAACACTGCACCCAAATTCAATTTACGTCTTTTTCCCACGAATTGAGCTTTCTTTCGAGGTATTTGATCGTCCCTGTATTTTTTTTTTTTTTTTTCCGCTATAAAAAAACCCCGACAATTTTGAGAAAAAAAAAAATATATTTTTGATTTTTTGCAATTAAACTTGTCCAGTAAAAAAAAAAATCAAATTTGTCAAATTTATGTATTCTGCGACATGTCTTTGCTAAAAAAAAAAAATCCCAATACATGTAAATTAATTGGTTTACGTGAAAGTTATAGCGTTTTTTTTTTTTTACTAGTAATGGCGGTGATCATCGACTTATTGCAGGACTGCAGCAGACATTCTGACACTGGGGGGAATTGACTTGGTGTTACTGGCATCCCCAGTGACACCAATACAGTGATTAGTGCTACACTGTACTAATGGCACTGGACAGGAAAGAGTTAGCATGAGGGGCGATTGGAGGGTGAACTGTGTGCAGAGAGTGTTTTGCTAGGGGGCAGTGTGTGTGTGTTTTACTGTAAGACAAACAAGAAACAAACAAGAGATCCCTGTGCTCA